TATTACTACTGTGTTCCTGTTAATGATATACATGACCTGAAATGACTTAAGTGTTGATATTTTGATTTTAGTATCAATATTGAGGCATAAAGTTCTGTTATTGGTGGTATCTGAGGCCGAACCACTGCAGAACAGACTGATCTAAAGTAAAGACGTTCACTGATGAACAGTTTTTATGATAACACACTGCAGTCGTCAGTTTGTTTTCAGAGCAGCTCAGCTAAATGAACAGGAACAGGATATCTCAGTGGACTGGGACCAGTTTGTGAAACAGCATCTGTGAGGGATTCTCCAACATGGCAGCAGGCGCTCGCAGGCTCGTTGGTTACATTTTAAACATGTTCAAAAAGATTGAATCTTGAATCTGTCTTAATTCTTTGATTTTATTTACTTTTATTTAGGTAATGTTGAGAGAGAGATTCTCATTCACAAGAGAGGCCTGTAACTTTAGTCACACAAAAATCCAACTATTTTCTTTTAATACATTCAAATATATTCAAAAATATTCCCATACATGTATTCTGGTACGGTAGTTTTAGTAAATTCTAGAGCTTGTTTATTTAAAAAAAAAACTGACATTTCTGGTGAGAAAAATTCAAATAAAAATGCTTCTAAAAGTGGAGATTTTTTTAAATTTGGTGCATCTTTAAAAACAAAAAAACTGAAGCAGCGGTCTGTTTTTCTCAGGCCAACTAATGTTTTATGTTTTATCTCTTTTGTTAATCCCGTCACCATCAGGCTTCGATGGAGTCAAATGATGTCAAATTTGATTTCATGGGGACTTTAATAGACTTATAAATAAAACTAAAAATGTTTCTGATATTTAATGTCTTTTTTTAAGAAAGCTAAAGTCAGATTTCCTAACCAAAGGGTCCAGCCTTGTTGTTGGTGGAGAAACCTTTGGTTGGTAAAAATGACTCGTTTCTGCTTTAAATGCTTTGCTTTTAAAATGTGTGGCTTACAGTCCTGACTGTGCATGTTAATAAGATGACACTATAGTGCTGTTATAGTACAGATAAGTTTTTATTTTGTATTTAAGCACATTCAGATAAGAAAGTAAACTTTCAGTCTCTGTGACAGCAGTCACATGACAAACGCTCCCTGCTTCTGGTCCTGAGTGGATCAGGATCCTCTGAGCTTCCAGGATTTAAACTCCCCCTCATCTCCTCTTTCTCTGTTTCTCCTTTTTTTAATGCTGCCATTTCTGTTGGTGTTCATCAGCCTCCTAACTCATTTGACTCTTTCTCTCCTCTCTCTCTCTGTCTCCTCTTCCAATCCCTTGTTGTGGTTTTATTTTTATTTTTTTTATTTTTGCTCTGATCACCACTTCTACATGTTGTCGTTCCACCTTTTTCTCCTCTTATCAACGTTGATGTTTTCCCACATGAAATTACATATTTCTTGTCTTCTTCTTTTCTTTATGTGTGTCTCACTGGTTTCTTTGTTTTTCCTCAACATGCCATGATGGGACATATCCTTTTTTCCTCGCATCCTTTCCATCGTTCATTGAATGGCCTCTCTCCTGCAACCATTTCTTCCTGCTCCCACTCCTCTTCCCCCCCTCCCCTCTTTCTCTATCTCGCTAGGAGGACCAGCTTTCCTCCCTGGGTTCTGCAGACCCCGGTGTGAAAACTGAGCGTGGATGGGGAGGAGGAGGAGGAGGACAAGGAGGAGCGGTAACCAACAATCAAGTCCACAGACTCTCTTCCTTTGGCATTTCCTCTGACACATCACCCCACAATAAAGTCCTCCCCCAAACTGTGGACCTTCCCTCCTTACCCACTCCTCACCAGCATCCTAGTCAGAATGAAGAGCTCCATGGCGATAACATGGCATCTTCACAGGCGACCGAGGCCACGGCAACGACACACGTGTAGAAGAATGGAGGGGGAGTAGGTCAAACACAAGCCAAATCAGAGAGAGAGACGATACAAAACTAAAACAGTCCCCATCCTTTCTGTCCCCTTCTGCCTGCGAGCAGAGAGAGAAGCACACTGTGTGGGAGAGGAGTAATAATCACACTGTTTAACACAAACACAAAGGGCTCTTTAATGAACACTTGCTCTCCTGACGCTCACACGGAGCTTTAAAACGGCACGAGACTTGCAGGACAAGATCTCGCCGCCTTGTTTCATACCTGCAGTGTGAATCCATCGCCTGTCTTCGTGACGTAAGGATCAAACACCCCAAAGACTTCATAGTAGCCATTAAGGAGGAAGCGTCTGAGCTGTGAGCGGGCTTAAAGTGACGGAGGGATCCGTGTTTGCGTCCACGTCCTGCAACGCGCCGGGCGGAGGCGTGGCCAAGTGTTCTGGCTTTTACCTAGTGCCTTTGGGAGTTTTTTCAACAGGGTCTAACAGTCGAGGTAACACCCTTAGCTTTGTTAGCGTGTGGGTCGGACACAGCGTTGGTGTTTGAGTGGCAGGAGGACACTTCTGGGAACTTTCTGTTTGTTTCTCTCAATCCAAAGGGACTACTTGTTTTTGAGCTCGTGCAGTTTTTCTCTTCTCAATCTCAGAACCGATGTGATAAACTGGTGCTAAACAGAAACAAATGGTGCCGTTTTTTTGTTTGTTTGTTTGTTTTTTTCCCCAAGCAAGCCGTCTGTATGTCTGCCATGTCACTGCTTCTGTCACGACTCATGATTCACTGTCTCTTCTCTTCCTGCAGTTTGTCTTTGAGTGGACCTCCCCCCCAAGCCC